TCAGAAGATAAAATAAAGCAATATTTAGAAAAAGTGGAATTACCTAAAATACCTGAAACAGTGAAAGCTATGTTAGATTGATGTAAAACAATGATGGAATTAACAGAAGCAATTAAGAGACAAAAGAATGGTAAAACACCGGGCCCAGATGGTCTACCAGCAGAACTCTATGAAGACTTAAAAAATATTGTAAGTATATCAATGTTGGAAGTGTTCAATGCAGTACTGCTGGAAGCGAAAGTACCAAATTCATGGATGGAAGCATATATTACTCTCATACCAAAAGAAGATTCAGACTTACAACAGATAAAAAATTACAGACTGATATGCTTACTGAATGCTGACTATAAAATATATGCTTCAATAATTTTAGAAAGTCTAAAAAGGCTCTTATACCAATTTTCTACATTCAGATCAAAATGGATTTTTACCTAAGAGACAAATTAAAGACAATATGAAAATAATTTTAAATACACTGGAGTACTACGAAGCACACCAGGGAAGCAAATGGTGTTGATTTTTCTAGATGCAGAGAAAGCATTTGATAAGGTGAACTGGAAGTTTATGCTAGCACAATTAAAAGATATGGATTTGGGGGAGAGATTTATTAATATGATTAAGGTGATATATGGTAAACAAACAGCAAAGGTTATGGTAAATGGAGATATGACCAGACTGAATATTACATGACATGGGACTTATTTTATCAATGGTTAGGCAATAAAAACCAGGAGTTAGAAACAGGAAACAAAAAAGACCATTTTAACCAAGATTCGTGAAATAAAGAAAATGTGTTAAGAGAGAGAAGCAAATATTATGATTATTATGTTTAATATTACCATTTTAATACTATAGAATTAATATTAAAGTAATGAATATTGCTGTGAATTTTGATTATTATTTTATAAAGATATCTGTAACTGGACGACACACTGTTTAATTGAAGATGGAATTATTATATTGAAAAATAAAAAAATGTATTTTAAAAAAAAAGAAAAAGGAAAAAAAATAGATCCAGAAAACTACAGACCTATCAACCTTACCTCAATATCTGGGAAGATTCTGGAAAAGATTATCAAGCAACAAATCAGTGAACACCTAGAGGCAAAGTCATAATGAAAAGCCAACATGGGTTTGTCAAAAACAGATCATGCCAGACAAATCATATTGCATTCTTTGAGAAGGTGACAAAATTAGTGGACCAGAGGAATGTTGTGGATATAATTTACTTGGATTTTAGCAAGGCATTTGACAAAGTAGACCACAATCTACTACTTGATAAGATAGAAAAATGTGGGTTAGACAACTTCACCACAAGATGGATTCGTAACTGGCTGACCAACCACACTTAATGAGTAGTCCTCAATGGAACTGCATCCACATGGAGGGAAGTATGCAGTGGGGTACCCCAAGGCTCTGTTTTTGGCCCAATATTCTTCAACATCTTCATCAATGATTTGGATGAGGGGATAGATGGGGAACTCATTAAATTTGCAGATGACACAAAGCTGTCAGGAATAGCCAACAGTCCAGAAGATCGGCTTAAGATTCAGAAGGATCTTGACAGACTTGAACATTGAGTGCTATCTAACAAAATGAAATTCAATGGTGAAAAAAGTAAGGTTCTACATTTAGGCAAGAAAAATCAAATGCACAGATACAGTATAGGTGGTACCTCGCTCAACAGTAGTAACTGTGAGAGAGATCTTGGAATCCTAGTGGACAATCACTTAAATATGAGCCAACAGTGTGCTACAGCTGCCAAAAAAGCCAACACAGTTCCAGACTGCATTAACAGAAGGGTAGAATCAGTCGTGAAATCCAATTTTTTTTTACTACCGGTTCTGTGGACGTGGCTTGGTGGGCGTGGTGTGATGTGGCTTGGTGGGCGTGGCTTGGTGGGCGTGGCAGGGGAAGGATACTGCAAAATCCCCATTCCCTCCCCACTCCTGGGGGAAGGATATTGCAAAATCTCCATTCCCACCCCACTCTGGGGCCAGCCAGAGGTGGTATTTGCCGGTTCTCCAAACTACTCAAAATTTCTGCTACTGGTTCTCCAAACTACTCAAAATTTCCGCTACTGGTTCTCCAGAACCTGTCAGAACCTGCTGGATTTCACCAGTAGAATCAAGATCACAAGTACTGTATGTTCTGACCCAGCTCTCCAAACACGACAAACCCTCTGAAGGTAACTCAAAAATTCCTTTATTAGGAATTTATTTATTTATTCCTTTATTCCTTTATTTTGCCAGCAGCCCTGGCAAAAAGTTTCTCTCTCAATGCAGGCTAACAAGGATGGAACAATGCAGGCTGGCCGGATGGAAGATGAATAGTTGTCTGCCACATCTATTCATCTCCACCCCTGCCCTTTATTCCCAAAGCTAGGGTGGGGCCTCATTAGCAGTGGTGGCTCTTCTTTCCCCAGGATCGGCCCATGGCTTTCCACTGCTCTCCTCTTCTCTGCCTTGTGCGCAATCGCGCATCGGGCACTGGACCCAGCTGTTTCTCCTCTTCTTCATCAACCAACTCCAGACCTGGGGGCTGTTGACTTTCCATCTGATGGCTGATGGACAGCCCAGGCTCCGCCTCTGTCTCTCTCTCTCTGCCAGCTCCATTCCCTCTTCCCCCTCAGACCTCTCAGTTTGCCTTGATGCTGACCCTGACTCCCATGCCTCCTCTTCTGATTTGGCTACTGGAGGGGCCGGTGGCCGAAAGGCCACAACAAAGTATTAATACCACTTTACAATGCCTTGGTAATACTGCATCCATATTTGATCACCACGATGTAAAGAAGATGTTGAGACTCTAGAAAGAGTGCAGAGAAGAGCAACAAAGATGATTAGGGGACTGGAGGCTAAAACATATAAAGAATAATTGCTGGAATTGGGTATGTCTAGTTTAATTAAAAGAAGGACTGGGGTGACATGATAGCAGTGTTCTGATACAGTATCTCAGGGGTTGCCACAAAGAATAGGTAGACAAGCTATTCTCCAAAGCACCTGAGGGCAGGACAATGGATGGAAACTAATCAAGGAGAGAAGCAACCTAGAACTAAGAAGAAATTTCCTGACAGTTAGAACAATTTTTTTTTTAATTTGATTTATATGCCGCCCTTCTCCGGAGACTCAGGGCGGCTTACAGTGCGTTAAGCAATAGCCTTCATACTTTTGTATATTTATACAAAGTCAGCTTATTGCCCCCACAAACTGGGTCCTCATTTAACCTACCTTTAGAAAGGATGGAAGGCTGAGTCAACCTTGAGCCTTGGAGAGATTCGAACCAGCAGTAAATTGCAGGCAGCTGTGTTAATAACAGGGTGCTTTAAACCACTGTAGTACCAAGGCAATTAACCCATGGAACAACTGGCATCCAGAAGTTGTGAATTCTCCAACACTGGAAGTTTTTAAGAAGAGATTGGACAACCATTTGTCTGATATATGGTATAGGGTTTCCTGCCTGAGCAAGGGGTTGGACTAGGTCCCTTCCAACTCTTCTCTTCTCTCTCAACCCTCTTCTACCCTCCCCTCTTCTACCCTACCCTACCCTACCCTACCCTACCCTACCCTACCCTCTTCCTTACCCTACCCTACCCTACCCTACCCTACCCTACCCTACCCTCTTCCTTACCCTACACTACCCTGCTTCTATTCTATTCTATTCTATTCTATTCTATTCTATTCTATTCTATTCTATTCTATTCTATTCTATTCTATTCTATTCTATTCTATTCCTTGGATATGTATTTGGCTGAATTCAGTCCAAATTTCAAGGAACTATAGTATCTGGGTTGTAAATGTAGACTGAGGAGGCCATAGCAGTTACATATCAGAGTGCATTTGCCCTGTGGATAGCTGAGATAGGCATCTATGAAAGGTTTGTAGATCAATTTTGGATTTGTTTATTTTCTGCTCATAACTAAAATAGTGGCTGGATTGGTGATGCAGGAATGGGAGAATGACATATTGAAAAAATGCATTAGCCATATAATATTCTATAACATCTCTATCCAGTGATTGAAAAAATTTCATATATTCAATATCTGCTTCACTATTTGATATCTGCTAGAATATTCACTATCCCTGGACAAACTGAAGAACCTTGAATGAGAAGTAAAATGTTTTCAAAGAAAAAAATAATCAAGAAAATCCAGTTGCCTTTTGGGGGAAAAAAACCCCACTTTTGGGACAACCATGATCTGGATGACTGAGAATCTCCATAGACATTCCAGGACAAAGTTGATCTGAAAGATGAAAGCAGATTTAGTTATGCAAATCCTGGCATATTGGTACTGGCAGAAAGGTAGGAGCGATGTAATAACTGATGAGGTTTCTTGTATGAGAAGCAAAATGTCTTCTTCTTCCTCATGGAAAAATATTCCAGTTGCCTTTTGAAGAAGCACCTTTAAAACAACCATGACCAGGATGACTCAGAATCTCCACAGATGTTTCTATATATACTTTTACAGCAGAATCAAAACAAAAGTTATAGCTTGTACCAGGGAGAATCCTTTTTCTCTAGATTGAAAGATATTAATATATTATTTTGAAATGACAAAAGACACCAAGATTGTATAACATTTTGTTCTTTTGAAAAGATGCACACACTTTTCTGTACTTTAAATAAATGCCCTTTTCAAAGGAATTTCATAAATTCAGTGCTACATTTTACTTTACACACAAGGTGGTGCTATTGCACCAAACAGTAAAAGGAGAGATTCATTTATTTCAGAATGATCCAGTCATTAGACAAAGGAATCTCAGAACAAAAGGCAACAGCTTTCAATTAAATCTTGAGAAATTTCCGAAGAAAATACTCCAGTATGAATACCAAAAAATAATTCCCATTGGATTCTGATCACAACTATAAAGGAAATTATAGGAATTGCTTTACAAAGAATCTTATTGAATGCATGACCTTCCCTGAAAGAGGCTGGGAAAATGGAAGTCTCTCGTCCTAGCAGGCAAGTGGTCTTATTCTTTATTTCTCTATGTAGCTCTGGTATGTTGTGTGAACCATTCCGCTATTCAGTGCCTGAGGAGAAGAAAGCTGGATCAATAGTAGCAAATGTGCTAAAAGATTTGAAAGTAGATGTGAAGGAGCTTTCTGCTCGCAGAGCACAGTTGATTTCTAAGAGTTCCAGGCAGGATTTCCAGCTGGATCCCCATTCTGGGAATATAATTTTGAGGGATAAAATTGATCGAGAAGCTTTGTGTGGGCTGAGTGATCCTTGCACTCTGTTCTCTGAAATTTTGCTGGAAAATCCTGTTCAGTTCTTCAAAATTGAAGTTCAGGTAGAAGATGTCAATGATAATTCCCCTATATTCTCTCAGAATCAATTCCGTTTTGAAATACCTGAGCAGACTCCCATAAATGCACGTTTCCCCTTGGAGACAGCCCACGATTTAGACAAAGGAAAAAATGCTATCCAGAACTATATACTTAGCACAAGTGAATATTTTAAGCTGGACATACAAAGTCAAAACAATGGCAGGAAATATTCAGAACTGCTTTTGGCAAAACCGTTAGACCGCGAGGTGATCCCTCAGTTTATTCTCACTCTGGAAGCTGTGGATGGAGGGATCCCAAGGAGAACTGGCACAGCACAGATAATTATTGATATTCTGGATAACAATGATAACGTGCCCCAATTTGAACAAACAGTATATAAAGTGCAGCTAATGGAAAATAGTCATCCAGGTTCATTGGTTGCTAAAATTAAAGCCACTGACAAAGACATTGGATCCAACGCTCACATCATTTACACTTTTAGCCAAGCACCAGCAGATGTACTCCGATCATTCAGGTTAAACAATCATACTGGGGAAATTACACTCGTAGGGAAAATTGATTATGAAGAAAATCATAATTATGAACTCAGCATGAAAGCCACAGATGGAGGAGGATTGTCCGCTTACTGTAAAGTTCTTGTTGACATTGAAGATGAGAATGACAATGCTCCAGAAATAATTATATCATCCATCACTAATCCTTTACCAGAAAATTCTCCCCCGGAAACACTGGTGGCACTTTTTGGCATCAGAGATCAAGACTCCGGAGACAATGGCAGAACTACCTGCAGCACTGAGAAAAACCTGCCTTTTATACTAAAACTGACTGAGAACAATTATTACCAGCTTGTGACGCAACAGCCATTGGACAGAGAACAAATGTCACATTATAACATCACCATCACAGCCATCGACCAAGGTTCTCCCAGACTCACTTCAATCACAGTTATTAGCATTCAACTTTCAGACATCAATGATAACCCTCCAATGTTTGAAAGAGGTTTCTACAATTTGCACTTAAGAGAAAACAACATTCCAGGATTGTTCATTGGATCAGTCCATGCTGCAGATGTGGACACAGAACAGAATGCCAAAGTAACCTACTCTCTTTTGTTTGGAAAGATCAGGGAAGAGCCTACATCATCTTACATCTCCATCAACTCTGAAACTGGGAACTTGTATGCCATTCGATCTATAGATTATGAGGATATACAAGATTTCCAGGTGATGGTGAGGGCTGTAGACAAGGGCTCACCTCCCCTGAGCTCAGAAACAATGGTCCGAGTTCTTATCACGGATGACAATGACAATGCCCCCTTCATCCTCTGCCCTCTTCAGAACAGCACTTCTCCATCAAATGATCTGGTTCCCAGGGGAGCAGAGACAGGCTACCTAGTCACCAAAGTGGTGGCAGTGGACAGAGATTCAGGGCAGAATTCTTGGCTTTCCTATCAGTTGCTGAAGGCCACAGATCCAAGTCTCTTCACTGTTGGGACTCAGAATGGGGAGGTGAAAACCATGAGGCCGGTGAACATCCGAGACAGTTTCAAACACACTCTTATTGTGGCAGTTAGGGATAATGGGCATCCTCCTCAGTCTGCCTCTGTGACCCTAAGAATTCTTCTAGTGGACGGCTTCTCTGATCCTTACGTGAAAATTATGGATAATCCTAAGGATGAAGTCCCGCAGGAGGGAGATCATACTCTAACACTGTATTTGATTATCTGTTTGGTTGCCATCTCATCCATTTTTCTGCTTTCTGTTACTGTGTTTATTGCAACCAAGTTTCAGAAGCGAAGAAAGTTCTTAAGAAGTTCTCATTCTGCATCAAATTTCCATGTGGGACCAAATTTGCAAGAGAAGTGTGTGGATCCTAATACTAGGACATCTTCCCAGGCCTACAGCTATGAAGTGTGCTTAACTGATGGGTCTCTGAGCGGTGAGTTCAAGTTCCTTAGGCCTTTCTTTCCTCTTTTTACTATGGAGCATCCAAAATGTATGCTGAATCCACAGATTAGAAATGATTGCCATGATCTTCCTAATCAATTTGAGGAAAGAGAACATATATCGCAGGTGAGTATAATCTGTTAACGAAGAAGTTTATGTTTAGAACATTGAATAACAGAGTTGAAAGGGACCTTGGGGGTCTTCTAGTCCAACTCCCTGGTTGAACAGGAGATGCTATACCATGTCAGACAAATGGTTTTCCAGTCTCTTTTTGAAAGCCTCCAGTGATGGAACGCCCACAACTTCTGAAGGCAAGTATTTGATTGGATGTTTGGTCTCATTGTTAATGTTTTTTTTTTTTTTTTGCTTTAATTTATATTCCGCCCTTCTCCGGAGACTCAGGGCGGCTTACAATGCGCTAAGCAATAGCCTTCATACTTTTGTATATTTATACAAAGTCACCTTATTGTCCCCACAATCCGGGTCCTCATTTTACCTACCTTTGAAAGTACGGAAGGCTGAGTCAACCTTGAGCCTGATGAGATTTGAACTTGCAGTAATTGCAAGCAGCAGATGTTAATAACAGTGCATTAGTCCACTGTGCTACCAAGGCTCCTACCAAGGTTAATTTCCATCCATTGTATCTTGTCTTGCCTTTTGTTATTTTGGAAAATAGTTTGGCCCTCTCATCTTTGTAGTAGCTCCTCAAACATTGGAATGCTGCTACCATGTCTGTCACTTCTTTTCATTAGACTAGACATACCCAATTCCTGTAACTGTTCTTTATATGTTTTAGCCTCTAGCAACCCTTTTTTGTTGCTCTTCTCTGCACTCTTTCCAGAGTCTGGACATCTTTTTTTTTATTGTGGTGACCAGAACTGGATGCTTTTCCCCAAGAGTTGTCTTACTAAGGCTTTGTAAAACTTCTTGGCTTGGCAAGAAGTAGTGGTCTACTTTATTAAATGCTTTACTGAAATCTAAGTATATTATGTCCACAGCATTTCGCTGATCTACTTATTTGGTCACTTTGTCGAAGAATAAAATAAGATTTGTTTGGCATGACCCATTTTTGATGAACACATGTTGGCTTCTGGTTGTAACCTTGTTTGCATCTAAGTGTTCACAGATTGGTTGCTTGATTATTTTCTGAATTTTCCTCAGGTATTGATGTCAGACTGATTGGTCTGTAATTTCCTGGATCTGCTTCCCCCCCCCTTTTTTTTTTGAAGATGGGGACCACATCAGCTCTTTTCCAGTCCTCGATAGTTCCCCAGTGCTCCAAGAACTTTGAAAGATATGGTTCAATAGTTCTGAAATTACATCTGCCTGTTCCCTCTGGGATGTAGTCCATCAGCACCCAGTAACCTGAATCCGCCTAGAGTTGACAGGAATGTGACTGAATAAAAAAAGATTTTCTGACCAAATAATGAATTATTTTCCTTCCTTCTCCAAATTGACCAAGTATCTTCTACCATCCACAGGTAAAGGGCAGCAGCAGGGAGATCAACTCCAATATTTGATTATCTGCTTGGTTGCCATCTCATCCATTTTTTCATCCATTGCACCCAACATTTTACAGCCCTTGCATCTGGGAGGGGTTCAAAGGGAGCATCCTTCAATTTTCTTAAAAAGAAAAGCAAATAATTTGCTAGATCAGGGGTCGGCAACCCACGGCTCCAGAGCTGCAAGCTGCTCTTTGGGCCCTCTGCTGTGGCTCCGTTTCCCATCACTGGTTGGCCTTGCCCCTCTTATTTCTTTTTTGGACTCTAGCCTGAAGTGGCAGGAAGCGAAGGGTGCCTTGCGTGCAAATATGGCACGAAGGCAGGTTCAGGACAGCTTCACTCCTGCACTCTCCCCCTCCTCCTCTCGTAACCTCCTGGCAGGGCCGGATTTAGATGAAAAGAGGCCCTAGGCTATTCCACTTATGAGGCCCTTTCACCTATAGTGAAAGTGTAATTTTAATTTTGCTAACAATTTGAATGTAGGCCCCTCTTGATCTTGAGGCCCCCTCTTGATCTTGAGGCCCTGGGCTGAAGCCTAGTTAGCCTATAGGAAAATCCGGCCCTGCCTCCTGGCCAGCTGTGGCTGAGCTGGGAACATGCGCATGTGCAGGGAGACCCTCCTCAAGCAAGCGCCAAAGCGCAGCAAAGCGTGTGGGGTATGCGGCCGCTCGCTTAGGAGGGTCTTAAAAGGACACAGCTTCTCTCCTGCACTAATGTTCTGGCCTTGCCATGTCATCCCCCACCCCTAGCAGCTTTTCAGATGAGTGCAGAGGGCGTGAATTCCAGCCCGAAGTAGCAGGAAGCGAAGGCTGCCATACGCAAAATGTGGTGCAAAGGCAGATACAGGGCCGCTTTGCTTCTACACTCTCCGGCGACCCTCCTCCCCCTCCTCCTCTCGTGATGTCCTGGCCAGCTGTGGCTGAGCCGGGAGCATGCGCACATGCAGGGAGACCCTGCTTAAGTGAGCTGCTGCCTGCCTCCCATGTGCCTTTCCTGAGCTTTGGCGTTGCTTGAGGAGGGTCTACCCGCATGTGCGCATGCTCACGACTCAGCCACAGCCGGCCAGGGGGTTACAAGAAGAGGGGGGGAGGAGAAGGATGGTTGCCTGAAGGGAGGGGGAGAGACACACACACACACACAAAGAGAGGAAGAGAGAGAGAGAGAGACATAGAGATACACACAGTGATACACAGAGAGGGGGTGAGAGAGAGACATAGAGAGACACATACAGAGTGATACACAGAGAGGGGGTGAGAGAGAGACATAGAGAGACACATACAGAGTGATACATAGAGAGGGGGTGAGAGAGGGGAAGAGAGGGAGAGGGAGATAGAAACAGAGGGGAATGGGGAAGATAGGGAGAAGGACAGGCACAGAGATACGGAAAGAGGGGGGAGAGAGGGGGAGAGAGGGAGAGGGGGAGAGAGACATAGAGAATGGTTTTGTGGCTGGATAGGCATGGCTAGGGGGTCATGTGACTGGGTGGGAGTGAATGACATCGAGTTGGCCATGCCCACCCAGGTTTTGTGGCTCCCAGTATGTTTTTTTTCTGTAGGAAATGGGTCCAAGTGCCTCTTTGAGTGTTTAAGGTTGCCGACCTCTATGCTAGATATTTGGAATTTTGCAGGAGATTGAATGGGTGTTTGAGAGAAGAATGTGGACTGAGTGAAAAACTATTTAAATGAGATTTGAGTACATTGATCAGAAACAGAAGGTTTTATAATGCAGCTCATGATCAAGACTCAAATCTGACTGTTGGATAGTGGTACAAGTGATTAAATGCTTAAACAGGTCAGGATTTGGGGAACTATGTGGTGAAGATTTCCAAAAACCTGAAAAATTGTCAGAAAACAACATCCACTAAAATAGCTACAGAAGGGATATGAAATAGCTGAAGGTTTGAATAATGCAGTGTGGTCAATGAAAAATTGAACTTTCTGCAACATGGAAAGATGTGGGGATGGGATAACAACATACTGAGATATTTACTGGATATTATCAGTTTTCAAAGATGACCAGTACATTTGGTATAAGCAGCTCATTTCAAAGAAATGGTCGTAAACTTGACTTCCAGGCACATTTTCCTAGTATAGAAGACCAATTGGTCTTCCTCCTACTGTGAGTAATCGTGACCATTTTGGCTGGAGTATTTTATGTCAGTGTATAAAGAATTTATGAACTGGAATAGCCATGGCAAATATTTTTTGATTGAGACATAGGATTTGCTGTGAGAGCCATGTGAGCCGGCTTTAGTCTGGTTGTGGTTTAGTTATTCAGTGTTCAGAGTTCGTTCTTTTCTCTACCACGTTGCAAGAGATGCATGGGTATTGTTTGTATCATGTTTTTGTATTTTGTAGATAAAGAAGCTTTTTCTATATTATGAATCCTGCTCAATTCTTTGAATATATGCTGGGTGATTCTCAAATAAACTAACAGGTTATGAGCCCAGATCCCACCCAGTGTTCTGCCCCAGCTACAGAACCCAAGAAATGTAGCACACACAAAACTCCGAACAACTCCGTTTACTACAAACACAGTCTTTTTCAAATGCAGGCTATTACTAAAAATGTCCTTAACAGCCTGCCAGAAATTCCAAAGATTAGATAAAGGCTTACAATAGTTGGCAATTAGCCCAGAAACCAGGTTTGCAAGAAAAATTCACTCTCAAATGCTCAGTGAACGACCAGATGAACACACGTTGTTTCTTGCAACGTTTGCCAGCTGCGTGCAAACTTAAATAGGCTAAGGGAGTGGCCAATTAGTCCCAAGCCTTACTCTCGAGGAGGCCTCCTCCTGAGTAACCACTCCTGCCTTTTGGCAGCTCTGCGTGCTCATGCATTGAGAAGAGGTTCCTCCACTTCACTCTCTTCACTTGAAGGAGCCTCTGGAGGATCTGAAGGCCCTGGCTGAATCTCTGCCTCTGGCACCACATCTTCTTCAGCCTCCTCGCTATCTGACTCAAGCGCCGGCTGCACAAGCTGCTGGCGCGACACCACACCAGCCTCCTCGTCGTCAGGATCAGCCACAATCCGCGCAGGCCGCTGGCGGGCAACAACACCCAGCCAGCCCATGCACAGTCAAATTGAAGAAAAAGGATTGAGGCTCAACATGGAACTGCATTCATGAGAGACTGCCTGTGTTATAAACACAAGGAAACAAGGCAGAGAAAGTTTGGAGGATGGCTGTTGATTTCAAGGAGAGCTCTCTGCCTCGATTGAGACAGAAGAATTATCTTATTTGGGCTGCAAAAATGGAATGCTTCCTGAAGGCTAAGGAGCTCTGAGATATCATCATTAATCCACCCCAGGGGCCATTAGCAGCTGCAGATCAATGGCGGCATAATAAGGCACTGGCTTACATCATTTTAAGTTTGAAAGATGAACAATTCTTAAATGTAACTGATTTAAAAATTGCAAAGAAGGTTTGGCTGAAATTGAAAAGTGTGCGTGTGAGTGCGTCAGCATGCAATATTGTGCAATTACTGAGACAATTGTACAGAGCCCGATTGCTGCCACAAGAGAGTGTAGAAAAGCATCTGCTGCAGACACTGTTTGTTGAATTAGAACAGCGTGGAATGCAAATTCCTGAATCTCAGAAAGTGCTGTTGGTATTAAATAGTCTTGATGAAATGTGGGACATTGTTTCAGCCATTTTTGAATGTAAACCAGAACAGGAATTACATATGGAAACCCTTAAAGCCTGTTTGATTTCTGAAGAACAAAACTACCATTTTAGAAGGAACCACGAGGAGAAATGCCTGAGGTGGAGGTCCAAGGAGCAGAGAGAGCAAAGCAACAGACTGGATGTCTGCAGAGATCAGAGCAACAGAAGAGATTGGATTATATCCCAGCAAAGAATTCCCAAGAAGAAAGAACAGAAAAAACAGAAATGTTTTATCTGTGGGGATAAAACTCATTTAAAGAAAGACTGTTTACAAGGAAGAAAACAAACAAATGGACAAGCAGCTGTTGCAAAATTTAGCTATTGTAATAGCAGAGACAAGTGGTTAATAGACAGTGGGGCTAGTCAAACAATTGTTAATAATTCTAAGTTGTTTTTCAGATTGGGTCCAGTTGGAGGAGATGCAGTAGCCTTAGCAAATGGCCAGAAGACTAAAGTCATAGGAAAAGGCAGGGTGCTGATTCCATGTCTGGAGGAAAAGTTTAATAATATATTATGTGTGCCTGAAATGGAGCATAATTTACTGAGTGTCTCCAGTCTAGACAACAAGGGTTTGAGATCACATTTGTAGATGGGAGATGTCTCATAAAAAGAAATGGGAATGTATGTGCACAGGGCATAAAACTGGATAATCTTTATGTGTTGCAGAGACAAAAGGTTCAATGTGCCCAAACATTTGGAAATGTGGCACAACATGATTCATGCATTCATCTCTTGCACAGAAAGCTTGGACATGCCAGTTTCAGAGTGTTGCGCAAGATGCAACAGTTTGGAGAAGGGTTAACCTTGAAAGGGTGTAAGACATACTTAGACTGTCCAGTATGTAAATCATAGAAGTCCCAGTAAGAAAGAATAGCACAAGGCAGACAACAAGAGTTCTAAAGCTGGTACATGCAGATTTGGTTGGGCCAATGTAAACCAGTTTGGGAGGAGCAAGGTATTTGCTTGGGTATTTGGTTGGGCCAATGTAAACCAGTTTGGGAGGAGCACTGGTCATTTTAGATGACTACAGCAGGTTTGGGTTCTGCTACTTGCTAAAGAGTAAAATAGAGGTGCTACAGAAATTTAAGCAATGGGTTAGCTTTGTAGAGAGCAGAAAAGATAACAGGTATGCCAGCTGGAAACTGAAAGAGGTTTAGAATTCATGTCAGCAAGCGGTTGGGACAGTTAGGAATAAGACATAGACACACTAATCCATACACAGCAGATGAGAATGGCATAGTTGAAAGATGGAATGGAGTCTTACAAACAATGAAAGATTCATTTCTAAAGGATTCTGGTCTGAACAGGTCGTATTGGCATGAAGCCATGTTGACTGCTAATTATTTGATCAACAGGCTGTGGAGTTCCTTTATTAATGATACTCCATATGCTGTGCTCTATGGGAGAAAGCCATCTTTGGCACATTTAAGGGTGTTTGAAAGCAATGCATGGGTGCATATTCCAAAGGCAATAAGGAGAAAAGGACAACCAAAACTAAAAAGTTCAGGTTTATGGGCTATGAGCCTGGCTCGAAGGGCTATTGCTTTAGTGATGGGAGCAGAAGGATAGTAATGTCCAGGTCTGCTAGCTTTGCAGAGCAAAATTGGAGCAGAACTGATGCCAATTTTAGGGATGATCCATTTAGTAATGGTGACTCACTTAGTGATGGTGTCAGCATTCAAGGAGGAGAAGCTGAAAAAGGACAAAAAAAAGAGTCAGGAGAAGATGATGACTGATATGAAACAAGAAAGGGTTGACACACAAGAGCAGTCAATGACACGCAGGTCAGAGCAATGGAACAAGGAGATTCCACCTGACAGGTATTCTGCTAGTAAAGTAAAGGTGTGTAAAGTGCGGTATGAGCCAAGCAACTATAAGGAAGTATTGGCACTCTCAAAGTCGAGCAAGTGAAGTGGAAAGAAGCTATGGACAAAGAAATGAAATCCATGAATGAACATAAAGTGTTCACACCTATGACTTTGCCATAAGGTTACAAAGCTATAGGATGTGAATGGGTATACAAAAAGAAAGTATTACCCAACAATGAAGTCCAATATAAGGCAAGATTAGTAGCAGAAGGTTTTTTGCAAAAGAAAAATGTGCACTATGATGAGGTGTTTGCACTAACAGTAAAAAGTGAAACTATAAGATTGGCACTAGAGTTAGAAGCAGCATGTGGCCATAAAATCGGCACCTTGATATAACCACAGCATTCCTCAATGCAGAATTAGAGGAAGAAATTTACATGCTTCAAGCACCAGGGTATGAAAGTAAAAAGGTTGACACTGTTTATAAACTGAACAAGGCTGAAGCAGTCAGCCAGAAAGTGGAACATCTGTTTAGATATGGCATTGAAGGGTCTTGGGTTCAAGAGTTGCAAGGCTGATGGTTGCATATATACTGCAAGGTTACACGGTGTGGATTGTCAATTATTAGCATTTGTGGATGATCTTTGCTTCATTGCAAAAGATCTGATACAGGTAAAAGAATTTGGTAATCAGTTGGAGAAAAAGTTTGAATTGAAAAATTTGGGTGAAATACAAACTATCTTGATGTAGAGATACAAAAAACTGAGAAAGGTGGTTACGTTCTCAGTCAAAGAAGGAAAATTGAACAGCTGTTGGAGAGATACAACATGAGTGATTGTAATTCTGTTCCAACACCTATGAGCACAGATTTTCACAACAATTTGGGTGAGGACAAAAATGAAACCTGTGATCAAGAGATATATCAGTCAGCAGTAGGGAGCTTGTTATATCTGTCACAGTGGTCCAGACCAGACACAGCTTGTGCAATAAGCATCTTAAGTTGCTTTACTGCTGCACCAATACAGTTACATTGGATGGGTGTAAAAAGAATTCTCAGGTATTTGAAGGGAACTGTGAATTTAGGTCTTCAAATACAGGTCTCTGAAGATTGAATGTTAAAATGTTATGTTCATAGTGATTATGCCAATGATGTGAAAACCAGAAAATCCAATTCTGGGATTGTGGTATTATTTGGAGGGGCTTTAATTGTATGGAAGTCCAGAAAACAAACTACTGTAGCCATTTCTACTGCGAAGGCAGAATTTATTGCTCTATTGGAACTTTGTTCAGAAGTAACTTGGTACGTAAAGCTGTTAAAAGAGTTAAACATAGAGGTTAATGAAGCTGTAACAGTGTTTGAAGATAATGCTACTTGTATTAAAATGGCAACAGGTGACAGAGTGAAAAATAGAAGCAAGCATGTGGACATTAAGTATTGTAATGTCAGAGAAGCTATCAAAAGTAAACTAATTCATTTGCTTCACTGTTCTTCAGAAGACAATCTAGCAGATGTAATGACCAAGCCATTGATTGGAGTGCACCATGGGAAGAATATTAAATTATTTGGTTTTATGTCTTTTCCAGTCATAAAGGGAGGAGTGTCAGTGTATAAAAAAAATTATGAACTGGAATAGCCATGGCAACGATTCAGCCAATGGGAACTGTTTTTTGATTGAGACACAGGCTCACATGATCAAGGCTCAACTTTGATTGATGGAGAGTGGTACAAGTGATTAAATGCTTAAATCGGTCAAGATTTGGGAAACTATGTGATGAAACATGAAAAATAAATTGATGGAAAGAGGACAACAATAGTACAAAGGAACACCCACTAAATTGCTAAAGAAGGGATATGTAACAGCTGAAAGTTTGAATAATGCAGAGGTTGTCAGTGACGAATTGCACTTTCTGCAACATGGAAAGATGTGGGGACAGGATGCCAATGTACAGGGATATTTACTGCCTTTTATCAGTATAAAAAATGGAAAGAGAGACAAGAAACTAAGGCAGAATACCAGCATATACCTCAAATCTACAAAACTGAGGTCAGGAAAGCTAACGCTGAGAATGAAGTAAGACTTGGAACAAATGTCAAATATAATAAAATAGTTTCTTTCAACATGGGAAAAACAAGAAAAATGTCAAGGAAACAATCGGTCCACTAATGGGAAGAATATGGCAAGGAAGTGATGGACAGCAGAGAAAAGGTAGAGCTGTTTTAATTCTTTCTCTGCATCTGTCTTCATGCAAAAGGAAAAAATAGCCCAACCTACCAAAAACAGAACCATAATGAACAGAGAAGTAATGCAAATTAAAATAGGCAAGAAAATGGTAAGAGAACACCTGATCATGCTAGAAAGTTCAATACACCAGGACCAGATGGATTACATCATCAATGTTAGTACCACTTTATAATGCCTTGGTAAGACCACAGTTGGAATTCTGCATCCAGTTGTTGTTACCACAATATAAAAAAGATGTTGAGACACTGGAAAGAGTGCAGAGAAGATCAACAAAGATGATTAAAGGCCTGGAGGCTAAACCATATGAAAAATGGTTGCAGGAATTGGGTATGTCTAGTCTAGTCAAAAAAAAGGACTAGGAGGGACATGAATGTCAGGGCATTTATTAATCCCATGTTTGGCTCTGGGACTAATTACCCTGGTTTAAAGGAGGAGATGAATCGAGGCTTATTTCAAGTTGCACTATTCTGATAAAGAAACGCGAAGAAGGTTTCTAATAAAACTCATTTATTTGTTATAAAGAAAATAAAACACCTCACTAACTAAGAAAAGTTAATTGTTACATTTTTGAAAATAATTCGGGCCGGCTATCTTTCAGCCGGACCTTGCTGGAAAGAGAACAAAGGAAAAGTGTGTGAAGGAATGTGGGTGGATACGGAAACACGTAGCTTACTGATAAGAAGTTGGCAAAGCTACGGAGAGTCTGACAGTCCAGAAATAATGAGCTCAGCTGGTAAATAAAATAACGCAGTGACATTCCCCTTCTTTTGCCAGTTGAGCAAATATCAGTACATCATCAAATAAGGCACATCTTCTCACGCAGATACTCGTGTTGAGCTGCTGGAAGTGGTTTGTTGAGCATATCAGCAATTTGATCATGTGTAGATACATATTGCATTTTGACAAAACCTTTTTTCACTAAATGTTTTATGTTTTGATAACGGATGTCAATGTGTCTGGACCTAGAACCTGTGAAATGAGATTCAGAAATATAAACCACCGATTCATTGTCTTCCATCACGGTGATCGGTCGGATCGGGTGTGTCCAGATATCTGTGACTAAAGCATCAAACCAAGTTAGGGAATTACATGCATCTGAAACACAAGCATATTCAGCTTCAGTAGATGAACAAGAAACAAAATTCTGTTTACGCACTTGCCAATAAACAGGACATCCATTTAAGAACATCATATAACCTGAAGTACTTTTACGTGATTTCTTATCACTTGCCCAATCAGAATCTGCATAACAACATAATTCTGCATAATCAGTATGTGTTGGTTCTAACAATAACTTCATGTGTTTAGTGTATTTTAGGTATCTCAATAATTTCTTAATACATGTCCAGTGAAACTGTTTTGCCTTACCTACGTGTCGAGATAAGAGATTAACACTAAGTGCAATGTCGGGTCTGGTCCAACTACTAATGTACAATAGTGACCCTATGACTGAACGATAAAGTGTTTGATCCTCGAACTCAGGACTTTCTTCTTGTGTCAAGTTGTGAAAATCTGTTTGCATGGGTGTCTTTGTTGTGTTAGCATCTTTCATGTTGCAATGATGCAAAATTTGTTCAATTTTATCTTCTTGTGAAAGACTAAACCCCTTCTGTGTCTTTTCAATGTGAACACCTAAATAAGTGCTAATGTGACCTAATGATTTCAATGTAAAGTATTTCTGCAAAGCTTTGGCAAACATTTCATTCATTTGCTTATTTGGACCAATATAAACAATATCATCAACATAAACAAGAACTATCTCATATACATCGTTAGATCTTTTTGTGAACACGCACTCATCAGTTTCGGACTTAATAAAGCCCATTGAATTTAGTTTGTCAGTAAGACATAAGTACCACATTAAACCAGATTGTTTCAGACCATAGAGACTTTTGTTTAGGAACCAGGTATCCCCTTCTTGCTGTCGGAATCCTGGAGGACTTCTCACGTAGATCTCTTCGTCTAGGTCTGCATGTAGATAAGCCGTGTCAACATCAAACTGAAAAACTTCTAAACCAAGGATAGTTGCAGTTGCTAAAGCAATTTTTACACTCTCAGTTCTGACTGTCGGTGAGTAAGTATTTGTGTAGTCCTCAGGATAACGTTGAGCGAAACCCTGAGCTACAAGTCTGGCCTTGTACAGTGACTCACCATTTGGTTTCTTTTTGATTCTGTAGACCCATCGAGTGCCAATGACCTTTTTGTTTGCTGGAGGTTTTGCAGGTGTAAATACCTTAAGTTTCTTTAGACTGTCCATTTCAACCTGCATTGCATCATACCATTTGTCTTGCTCTGAATCAGGGAGCTGCTTGATTTGTGTGAAATTATCAGGTGGAAGTGTAACATTGCAAATCAAAGGCAAGGGTGCTTTTGTCAGTTGCCAAGAATATCGTTGTGGAGGGATCCCTTTTGTGGCCCTCTTGGAACATCTCGGAACAACTGTCCAGTCTTCTTCTGCTTCGTCCTCGTCCTCACTTTCGTCGCTAGCATCAGCATCCGCGGCTTGCGAAGACGGAACATCAAGTTGAGAAGAATCAGTGGAATCTTGATCATCAATCTGCGTGGCATCAGCAGTATCATCTCTGGTAAAATAAACTCCAGGATCATTGGAATGAATCCTGGACCAGTCAATATCTTCTTCAAAATTAGCAGATTGGGAAATCACAATTACATGTTTAGAGTCAATAAATTTGCTCCACTTTGAGTTATCATCAATACCCATAAATCTCAGTCTTTTTGCTGCTGGACCTCCTTTTCTTCTTTGAGCTAAGGGAATGTTCACCATAGCATATGAACCAAAAATATGGATGTTTTTAAGATCGGGCTTGTAGCCATACAACATGAAGAAAGGAGTCTGATTTGTTACACTGCTCCAAGTATGATTTACAATGTAATTTGCATACTTGATAGCTTCACCCCAGTATATCATATCAAGGTTGGCGTCTTCTAGGAGACAACGCATCATGGTTTGCAGTACCTCTCCGTTGTGAGCCGGTATGTCAGGGGGTGAAGTCTGATGAATAATTCCATTCTTACGCATCCAGTCCTCGAAACGCTGAGACATGAACTCGGCACCACGATCACTCTGGATTCTGGTGATGCGAACTTGGTGTTGGGTAGAAACAAGGGTTGCAAAGTCTTTAAAGATCTGAAAAGTCTCTGATTTTTCTTTCATAGGATATACATATCCATATCTAGAGTAATTATCAACAATTGTTAGAAAATATTTTCTACCACCAAATGATGGCGGGAAAGGACCAACTATGTCAATGTGAACCAAATCAAAAATGTGTGTTGACAGGCATGTAGCGCGTTTGGGAATGGCTGCTGCTTTG